ATGGTGGTTTCCACTGCCCACCTAAAAACCAAGAGGGAAGGAACTCAGTCTTCAAAGTATCTTGCCTCTGTTATTTAGTTTGTATCCTGACTATCTCATAGAAATGGGGTTCAATGGAGCTTGCAAATAAAGAGTACAAGTATAATTAAAGCGTTCAGTGAGTGAAACCATTAAAAACTCAATTTAAAAGCATAGCTACAAAAGGGGAGAAGCACATGCACCTACCTTTGGTCAAATTCCCTTCTGCAGCAAGTGAGGTCAATTGCAAAAATGCAGGTGGATCAAAATAACCTAGTCTAAGAAGAAGGGTTTTTTTTTCTTTTAAAGAAGATATTATTGATAAAAGGTAGGCTTCTGCACAGTCTGAAGAAAATGTATAGAATTAGATTTTCCCAAAAACATGACACTGGATTTTGTAATCATCTACTGAAAAGGATATATTCAGGATAGAGAACTTCAGGGATCAGTGACAGAAGCCAAGGTGGTAGGTAGCACTGGGGGTGGGTTGAGGGGTAATTGTACTGTGTGTGGCGGGTTGTCTATGCATGTGTATATGTTTGTAATGTATATGGTGGGGTTTTTTTTAAAAAAAGAATAAAGACAACAGGTAAGTAACTAATTGAACTCACTCCCCCAAGGTGGGAGTGCAGGGTTTTCAAGGGGCTAGAGGAGGTCAGACAATTTCATGATGTATGGAGAGCCAGTGTGGTGTGATTTGAGCATATGACTCAAATCACACTGACATAAAATATAGATCAGTGGTTCTCAACCTTCCTAATGCCACGACCCCTGAATACAGCTCCCTATATGTTGTGATGACCCCAATGCATAAAATTATTTTTGTTGCTACTTCATAATTGTAATTTGTACTGTTATGAATCATAATGTTTATATATGATATGCAGGATGTATTTTCATTCCCTGGACCAAATTTGGCACAAGTACTCGATATGCCCAAATTTGAATATTGTGTGTGTGTGTGTGTGTGTGTGTGTGTATTTTTTGTCATTTGGGAGTTGTATTTGCTGGGATTTATAGTTCACCTAAAATCAAAGGGCATTCTGAACTCCACAAACGATAGAGTTGAAAAGTGCTTTGGAGGACAAAATGCTATTGGATTCAATAATTCCGGGAAGGCACACTGGAACAGCCACGTCTTCAAGCTCCTCCTGAAAACTGCCAGGGTTGGGGCCTGTCTGATGTCTTTAGGGAGTAAGTTCCAGAGTCGAGGGGCCACCACCGAAAAGGCGCTCTCCCTTGTCCCCACCAAACGCGTCTACGATGCTGGTGGGATCGAGAGCAGGGCCTCTCTGGAAGATCGAAGAGATCATGTGGGTTCGTATTCAGAGATGCGATCTTTCTATCTATAGCTGGATGGCTCTTTGTCAGGAGGACTTTGATTACATTTTCTTGCCCTGATGAAGGATTGAATGGCCTTAAGTATTTTCTGTTAGTCATGGGATTTCTGTGTGGGAAGTTCGCCCCGATTCTATTATCTGTGGGGTTCAGAAAGCTCTTTGATTGTAGGTGAACTGTGAATCCCAGTGACTAAAACTCCCAAATGTCAAGGTCTATTTTCCACAAACTCCATCTGTGTTCATATTTGGGCTTATTGAGTGCTTGTGCCAAGTTTGGTCCAGATCCATCATTGTTTGAGTCCACAGTGCTCTCTGGATGTAGGTGAACTACAACTCCCAAACTCAAGGTCAATGCCCACCAAACCCTTCCAGTATTTTCTGTTGGTCATGGGAGTTCAGTGTGTCATGTTTGGTTCAATTCCATTGTTGTTGGAGTTCAGAATGCTCTTTGATTGTAGGTGAACTATAAATCCCAGCAACTACAACTCCCAAATGACAAAATCATAATTTTTGAGTGATGGTCACTCCTTTTGTTGTGAGACGTTTTGTTGCCAAATTTGGTGTGATTTCGTTCATTGGTTCTTTTGTTTTTAAGGTACTCATTATGCATAGAGCATTTATATATATATAGATATTACATCTGCAGAGGATTCTGGTCATAGTTTGACATAAGATGATACCATTTCATATGCCCATCTAAGAACTCCAGGGTCAGTGGGGGAGAAATCTTAGTTTATATGTTTGTTTATTTCCCTGTCTCTCTATGAGTTCTCCCTTACAAATAGTTCTGCCCCTTTATATCACCCTGAGTTTTTAAATCATTTTATGTACATGCGGCCTGCCCATTGTCATTATGTTTGGGTTTATTTATTTTTTTACTGTTTTGTGTTTATTGTTTATATGCTTATGTTTTATACTTTAATGCTGTGTTGTTTATTTCATTGCAATCTGTATCTCATTGTATTGTAGTTTGTTGTTCGGCCTTGGCCTCATGTAAGCCGCTCTGAGTCCCCGTTGGGGAGATGGTGGCGGGGTATAAATAAAGATTATTATTATTATTATTATTATTATTATTATTATTATTATTATTATTATTATATTCCATCTTGTCTTGGTTCATTTGGGTTCTGCATGCCATCTTCTCCTTTGAGGACATCTGGCTCAATGCTCCTTCCATAATGGCAAGCAGTAAAAATGTATGCACACCTTTTAGTGACACCTAACCTATCAGAATAACAGGCATGGTGCTAGTCTTGATTAAAAGGTAGTGCCATGCATGTCTAGGTGTGCATGGCATAAATTTTCTTCTATCTATGGTTGGCTCTCGCAGCTGTTTCTTTCTCTCAAGAAATGCATTTGCGAACGGTTGTGAGGATTAGTTGATCTTGATCCATCTCAGCTTTGCTATATTTGTGTTTTTCTGCTCTGCTTCACCCCAGCTTTACTGGGAATAGTATTGCAGAGACATTCCATGTCAGAAATTCATTAACCAACTTTGCATTTTGATGCTGTGCGTCGAGCAACGCCATCTGCTACACGATGGCTGTGATTTCTAATCTGCTTAAATCCTGCTGAATCCTACCAATGTCACTTAGGCAGGTTGATCCTCTGTTCCCTTTTTTCTTGTTATTAGCAAATTAAGATACCAATCTGGCTGTTGATTTCATCATCTACCCCATTTAAATACTTTATCCGGAATAGAAGTTACCTTATTACTGGGCCAGGATGTAATTTAGCCATTAACACTAATCTCTGTTGGTCCATAATGGTCTAATAAACAGTCCATGTTCTTGAATTCTCCCTTGCACCTTATTTCCAAAGCAGTGGAAATATGTTTCTTTATCTGAGAGCCTTGTCGGAATCTAATTAGATAAAGGCTCAGAAGAGCACTGGTGCAATATCTCCCCCTCCATCAACTTCACCTTAAACATTCTCAGATATCAGCCCTTCTCTCAAATCACTTTTCCCCTCGTCGATGGAAAACCAACTCAATAATTAAAGTTTGCTACCAATTTGTCTTATTGTTGACTTCAGAGTCTATTTTTAAAGTCCCAATTATTATGAGCCCAGTTACAGCCCATCACAGAAAACAAGGCGCATGCTTTGATCCAGTATTTTTGTGTTTATTTCTGCTTACTTATATGCTATCAGTTTGCTTGCTTGGTTGCATGCTGCAAGTCGCTTCTGGTTGCTTCTAGAGTGAGAGAATCAGCCGTCTATGAAGACGCTGCCCAGGGGATGCCTGGATGTCTTGCAATCCTCCGGGGTTTGCAAGACACTCACTGGAACACCTCAGCAAGTGAGAGTCCAAAAGTGTCAGGCTCAAGCACAGAACTTCAATCAATGGCTGATACCAAATGAGAGACTCACCCCTGGCACACAAAAAACTGGGTGACTTGGAAGGTGCTGAACAGACTCCACTCTGGCACCATGAGATGCAGAGCCAACCTTAAGAAATGGGGCTACAAAGTGGAGTCCACGACATGCAAGTGTGGAGAAGAGCAAACCACAGGACACCTACTGCAATGCAACCTGAGCCATGCCACATGCACAATGGAGGACTTTCTTATGGCAACACCAGAGGCACTCCAAGTGACCTCCTACTGGTCAAAGGACATTTAATAGAATACCAAGTCTGCAAACTTTGTGATTTGTTTGTTAGTTTGTTTTTAATGCAATACAACTATTTGGTTTGCTCCTGACACGATAAATTAAATTAAATATGCTATTAGTGGACCGGATGCTTTACAGATGCACAGAAAAGGTAGGATTCACCATCCCAAAACAGTGGGAAAGACCAGAAAGATGGGAGAGAAAGGGGGGGGGGGAAGCAAAACGGATGGTTAAGGCCAGGATCCTCTAGTGGAATTATACTGGTGTCAACTTTGATTATACCAGTGATTGTGCTATTTCGATGTGCATGCATGCGAGTAGCCAAAGCCCGCTTACACAAAGTATTTCCACGTTCATGTGCTTCTGAATAGTTTGCCAGTAGAGCTCCTCACCCACACCTGGAATACCCATGAGTTCATCACTGGAATGGCCACTATGGTGGATTACCAGCCATACACTCTTCCAACACCATTTTTCATGTTATTTCCAATGCTTCAGCATGTCAAAAAAGGTGGCATTGAATAGGATATTGATGTATATGTTTAATAACTTAAAGAGTTATGGATTTTACATAGGAATGTGAAAGCATCTCAGCATTTTGTGAGATTCTAAGTGATGCTGGCTATCTCAAAATGATGAACAAGCACTTCAATCCCCTGGGAGATATTATTTTGTATGTTGGGGGCATGAGTGGATGAACGCTACTCCTTTCCCCCTGGCTTACAACAGCAAATGGATGATGCTCGTCAGTGGCTATTTGGGTCATAGTTGTGCTGCCAGGGGAAACCTGTTGCACAATGAGCTGCTAGATACCTCATTGAGAGAGAAAGTGTTTGAGGACTGGGACATCCGTAGGGATACCAAGATACTTGTTTATAAAGCTATTGTCCTCCCAACCCTGCTATACGCCTGCGAGACATGGACTATCTACATTCGTCACATGCAACTCCTGGAACGATTCCATCAGCGCTGCCTCCGGAAAATCCTGCAAATTTGGGAAGACAAGCAGACAAATGTCAGAGTGCTGGAAGAAACAAAGACCACCAATATTGAAGCAATGGTCCTCCGCCATCAGCTCCGCTGGACTGGCCATATTGTCCGGATGCCTGACCACCATCTCCCAAAGTAGTTGCTCTACTCCAAACTCAAGAATGGAAAATGGAATGTTAAATTGATAAGAACAGATACTACACTTGATCTTAGCCAAAAGGCCGAGAGCTCTTGAGGTGCTCTTGGGGGAAAATAGACCTTGACATATGCGAGTTGTAGTTACTGGGATGTATAGTTCACCTACAATCAAAGAGCATTCTGAACTCCACCAATGATGGAATTGAACCAAATATGGCACACAGAACTCCCACAACGAACAGAAAATATATATCAGTGATTGGTTCGGGGGTGGGGGGGGGTGGTGCCAAAATACTGTTTGCTTACCGTTGAAAATTACCTAGGGCTGCCTCTGGCTGTGACCAGCAGTGCTGCATAATTTGAAGAGGCATGAATGGAGGGCAAAAGCGAGAAACGTGCCAGGAGGAAAGCGTGTCAAGCCAACCCCGACCGAGACCGCCTTCCACCTGGAAACTAAAGCCCTCACTGTGGGAGAAGATGCAGATCAAGAATAGGGCTGCACAGGCACCTATGGACTCAACAGAATACTGATCCTGGAAGACAATCCTACTCGACCAACGAGGGATCGCCCAAGTAAGTAAGTACCTCATTGCACAACATCCAAAAAAGTATGGTGGTTTATCCTTATTAAGTCAGTATAATTCTCTGAAAGGATCCCAATCACTGCTGGATTTAGGATAAATGAGGCCCTGTGATAGTTAAGTTATGAGGCTCCAACTTTGACCGTGAAGGAGGTAAACCTGGTAGTCCTACACTGCCTCCTTTGTGGCACACTCCCATAGACTATCAACTCTCTCATTATGTCTGGAATTGCTCCAAACAGAACGTCTTCAAAATTAGAATTGCACCACATAAGTAAAATCCATCACATTTTTTGTCAGGAAGATGCCCCCCCCCCACCTTCAGCCAATGGGATCCTGTGCTTAAGCAAACTGAAGCACAATGATAAATCTGTCACTGATTCCAGTCCTTGAATTGTCCACAAGAGCTCCACTATTAGCAATTCTCAAGCACAAGGGTATGTGTAACAAGTAACCAGTCAAATAGAAATGGTAGGAAACCACTTGGAAATTATGGAAAACTGACATCTACTGCAGATAGTGTTTGTCGTGTGGTTTACTATTTGCCAACCATTGTGCTAAATACATTTTAGTCATTGGTGGTACTGTTTACATCCCTGGGAGTCAAGAGTCGAAGAGTGAAAGCCAGAGAACTTGGAATGCAAAATTCATCTGGTAGAATATCTAAATATAACAGCATCATTTTAGAGTATTAAAAAAATTACAATTGAAATGTCTGCAGGGTTGACATACACAGCAAAGTTCTGCCAATCTCTTAATTACATACACAATGTTACTGTGAGTATATTACGATCAGTAATGTTCTAAAATTGAAATGATTTTTCCATTTAATTTATAAACATGAATTCAATAAAACCATTAGTCATTAGGAGAAATTCAGTTGTGTTCACAATGGAGAATTCAAACAGGAAAAGGTAAAGTTCATGTTCACGACTGGAGAAAACTATCAAATTCCAATGATGATGGTGATGATGATGATTGGAACCTTGTTGGGAACGTATATATTTGTAGGATTACTTATGTTCATGGGAATTAAAATTAGGCAGTACTGTATCGTCTGTATCCTGTAAAGTACTGCTGTTATGTTACTATGCAGGGGAGCCAACAAATGAACAATGTACATTGGGACCAATGCACATGAGTCCTGATATGCATTTGAACATGTTAGGCCACAGAATTAAATATATGCAAAGTTATATAAAGTCCATGGCAATGGAAGTTTCCAACTCAGAATAACAACACTAGCAGTAACAGCAATAATAACTGGGCTCTACAGGCCAATGGATACTCCACCTCAGACATCAGAAGAGCTGCAAGACCAAGAACAAGCCACGAGAATAAAGACAAAGATCCACCCAGAGGAAAAGTGTTCTTGCCATACATCAAGGGAACCACTGGCCACATAGGGAAGCTGATGAGGAAACACAACATACAAACTATCTACAGACCCACCAAGAAAATCCAACAAATGCTACGTTCAGCAAAGGACAAGAGGGATCCTCTCACTTCTGCAGGAGTCTACAGTATCCCATGCAGCTGTGGACAAGTCTACATAGGGACCACCAAACGCAGCATTGCCCAAACATGAATCAAGGAACATGAAGGGCACTGTAGAGTACTTCAACCAGAGAAATCAGCCATAGCACCTGATGAACCAACCTGGACATAGCATTTTATTTGGGAACACAGAAATGCTGGACCACTCTAACAACCACCATGTCAGACTACACCGAGAAGCCATTGAAATACACAAGCATTTGGACAATTTCAACAGAAAGGAGGAAACCATGAAAATTAACAAAATCTGGCTACCAGTATTAAAAAATTCTAAAATTAAAAACAGCACAACAACAGAGAGGAAACAAACAAGCACATCTAACCACCTTTCAACAAAAGTTTGCTCTAGGCACTGTCAAGTCATTATATGCTAATCAAGGTGGTCAGTTGAAACATTCACACCTAGCTCCAGCAGACAAGAGTCCTTTGTCCCACCCTGGTCATTCCACAGATATATAAACCCTTTTTCCTAGTTCCAACAGACCTCACCACCTCTGAGGATGCTTGCCATAGATGCAGGCGAAACGTCAGGAGAGAATGCCTCTAGACCATGGCCATATAGCCCAAAAAAACCTACAACAGCCCAGCAATAATAACCATAATAAATCAGTACTTTCTATAGATGTAACATTGTATTTATTTATTTATTTATTTATTTATTTATTTATTTATTTCATGCACTTTCACCCCGCCCTTTTCTCCCATACAGGGGGGCCTCCTACAAGCACCATACGATGCTGTCAATTCAAAGTAGAATTAAAGCATTAAAAACCATTAAAACATTAAAAATCATAAAAACACATTACACAATTCATTAGACAGTAGATTATACATGCCGGTAAAACCAAATCCAAGTCTAGGCAGATTCAGTGTCGTAAATATCCTAAGTCTTTTTTATGATTGCCACTATTTGATTAATCAAACGCCCGGTCCCAGAGCCAAGTCTTCACTTGTCTTCTAAAGGACAGGAGGGAGGTGGCCAACCTGATGTCCCTGGGGAGACAGTTCCACAGACGGGGGGTGGGGGGGGCACTGCTGAGAAGGCCCTGTGTCTCATTCCCACCAACCGCATTTGCGATAATGGTGGGATCGAGAGCTGGACCTCTCTTGAAGATCTTAAACTTTTTGATGGCTCATGGGATGAGATACATTGGGACAGGTAGTCTGGGCCAGAACTGTTTATGGCTTTAAAGGTTAAAACCAGCACTTTGAATTGTGCTCGGAAGCTGATCGGCATTTAGACCTCTGCACAGAGTATGAATTGATTTGTGAAGATTATAATGGTGTTAGTCTGCTCAGTAAGTTGGTTTTAAAACATCACCTCAGGTTTCATACATGCACTAATAATAATAGCAGGTTCCCAGTGTTGATTAATGATCAGTTCAATGCATAAGCCATTGTGACATTGGCTCATATAAGTATACTCCACCACTTTATGAGGCCCTTTGACTTCTTCATTACTGAAATGGACAGAACAGATTCTGAAAGAAGTCGCACCCACCCCACAACTCTTCAGCATACCTGTGGGAGAATACAGATGATTCTACTCTATTTGGTGAAATTCAATTCACACATATGCTTTTCATTCTTATTGTTGGTCACCGCAAAGCATATGGCACACGGGTGGCTTATACAAAGCATCTTTAGCCCGGCGGCAGCAGGAAGACAGTCTTTTAACTTCTTATGCAGACCCTTAGGACATTTTGGATCAAGGCACACCATGCTATTGTGGGACTTGTCTTTGTGGTGTTTGGATTAAACAAAACAAATAAGAGAGATAGACAGAGAAATACTTAAGGATCTACTATGTTATTTTGACAACTGGAAAATAGAGGGAGAAAATGTGGAGGCCGTGACAGACTTTGTATTTCTAGGTGCAAAGATTACTGCAGATGCAGACTGTGGCCAGGAAATCAGAAGATGCTTCCTTCTTGGGAGGAGAGCAATGTCCAATCTCGATAAAATAGTAAAGAGTAGAGACATCACACTGGCAACAAAGATCCGCATAGTCAAAGCCATGGTATTCCCTGTAGTAACCTACAGATGTGAGAGCTGGACCTTAGGGAAGGCTGAGCGAAGGAAGGTAGATGCTTTTGAGCTGTGGTGCTGGAGAAAAGTTCTGAGAGTGCCTTGGACTGCAAGAAGATCCAACCAGTCAATCCTCCAGGAAATAAAGCCCAACTGCTCACTGGAGGGAAGGAGACTAGAGAAAAAGTTGAAGTACTTTGGCCACATCATGAGGAGACAGCAAAGCCTAGAGAAGACAATTATGCTGGGGAAAGTGGAAGGTAAAAGGAAGAGGGGCCGACCAAGGGCAAGATGGATGGATGGCATCCTTGAAGTGACTGGACTGACCTTGAAGGAGCTGGAGGTGGTGACGGCCGACAGGGAGCTCTGGCATGGGCTGGTCCATGAGGTCACGAAGAGTCGGAGATGACTGAATGAATGAACAACAACAATGTTATTTTGAGCACAGACTGGGATATTGTTTTACATGAGCTTCTCACTGCTGCACATTAGGTGGTGGACTTCTAGTGAAATCCAGTAGGGCTCCATTTAAGTTCAACAAGTATTGAAGTCTAGACTTGAGCGTGAATCAGTTTTTAGACATTTCCTTTGGCCAATCTGGCTTGTTAGGTTGGTTTGTGTGTCCATAATGGCAAGGGCCCAGCTATCATGAGTTCTTGTCTGTAATTGGTCCACATGGCAGCCGATCTCGGCTCCTCTTCCCCTATTCAGCATCATATTTTAATCTTTTTGATTTTCCTTTATTTTCTTGATTCCTTTAATTTAGTGGGACTGACTTGGAGTTGGGGACATGCGTGACCCCAGTGCACATGCATTTGGGGGCTTGGGAGAGTCACCCTTTTAGCTTCCCCCCCTCCTTCCCTTCCTTTCCTTCAAATACTTCTAAAAGATAATAATTATTATTAATCCCAGCAAACAAAAAGAAG